AGGAAGGAAGGAAGGAAGGAAGGAAGGAAGGAAGGAAGGAAGGAAGGAAGGAAGGAAGAAAGAAAGAAAGACGCAGCTTCAGAGGATACCTTGAAAGAGCACAGCAATCCAGGGATGGAAGGGACCTGGCGGTCAGCTAGTCCAACCCCCTGCTCCAGCAGGACATTGTTAAAGTGAGTTTCTGTCTTTTGAACACCCCCCCCCCCCGTCTCATGCCTACATAGCCACGGCCATCAAGTCACATGACCTCACCACGCCCACAGAACCGGTAGGAAAATTTTTTAGATTTCACCACTGGTTTCCAGACTTTGTATTCGTTTTCTTATTCTGAATCTGTAAACAGCTGCATGTAAACAGTAATTATGCATTCAAATTTGCAGCAAGATGGCCTGTTTAGGTTTGTATCATGTAGAGGTTGTGTCAGTTTCTGTTTGCTTGGGCATTCATTAAAGCATATAATTTCACTAGAGATGCCTACATTCATGCATTAGGGTTTGGGGTTTTTTTAAAGAAAAAACACAAATTGTCTTCCAAAATTCAAAACAGACTTAATTCTATTAATTGAAACTTCAATTCTGGCCACGTTAAATGCAGCCCTGGGCCACTGTTTGCCTCAAACTAAATGAAAGTCTTGCTTCTTATTCTCTGTGACCACAGGCAGTCACCTCCACCCAGCTCAATCGTTCCCATAAAACTGCTAAGTAGGATCTGGACTCTGTCTGTACTTGCCTTTTTCCTTCTGGGTCAGCAGAGCTGAGCTGGTGTTGGCTGCAGTAGAAGCTCTCACATTTGTTGGAAGCCAGTGTCCACTGAGAAGGTGAGAACCCAGTGATTGTCCCTTGTTCCATTCTCTCTCACGGGAGAGGTGGCTTTGCCGGTGCAAGGCCATCTGCTGGAATGTACCAAATGTTCGGTTACAGTCTGGGCAGCGATGGTTCCCTCCCGAATCTTCTCTCACAAGCTTGGACCCTACTATATAAGAATGTTCCCACCACTGCTGACTACTCTCCATGGCGCGAGCTGTGACCTGCAGTTGTTCAGCACACCTCGCATCACTGTAACCCAGGAAACTACCCCTATTGGCTTTGTCTGTTGGACGAGGAGAGAGGAGAGATGGATACAGGGTCTCACAACCAACAAGTAAACTCTGTGCTGACCGTCCTGGTCCTGGTCCTGTTTGTTCACTCTGGAGGCCCAGCTTGCTGAGATGAACCTTCATGTGGTTTTTCAGGAACCATGGTTCCTTGAAGCCACGCCCACACACCTGGCACTTATGGTCAAAGGAGTCTTTGTGCTTCCGCATGTGACCCTTAAGGAACCAGGACTGGGTGAAGGCTTGACCACAGATCTGGCAGCAGAACTCCGTAGGGGTGGAGGCAGAGGAAGAAGGGGTGGGTGTGGAAGCAGGAGGGGTGGGTGGAGCTGTAGTGGTGGGCACAGGGGCAGGAGGGGTGGGTGTCCAAGCTGCTGGCGTGTTATGAGCCTGTTGGTTGTGCCACTGAAGTTCTGACTCCTGTGTGGCAGCAAAAGAACATTGCCCACACTTGTACGGCTGATGGAGGATGCGAAGGTGGCGCTCNTATGGGATGAGTAATCAGGAGAGCAGCTGGCTGGGTCAGCCACATTATGCAAACATGTCTAATATCTTTATTTCTTGCTGTATTGTTTGGGAAGGAAGTGTTCTGGGACAAAGACTTTTTAGCATGTAAAACACAAATCAGTTTAGATCTATGAGCACATGTGCCTTACAAAGCAGGGGTTTTTGCCATTCTGATCATTTTTGATAAACATTTCCAATGTGATTTTCTGTCACTTTGAGACTGGAAACACACAAATCATGTTCATTCAGCTTTTAGTAATATAAGTTGCATGCAAAAGTTTATGCATGCCTGGTCAAATTGCTTATTTCAATAATTTCTTTAGTGAACAGAAAGAAGATGGTACAACTTCTACAAGGAACAAGGGTTCTGCAAATTTGAACTGATGCTTATTAGTTATGAGCAGTTGTTTAAGAATAACCAGCAACATTTTAATTTCAAACGAAATTCATTGTTATTATCATCAAATTGTTAAAGTTCCAAAAGGAGATTTATTTGTTAGGCTTACAGTTACTCAAGTGAAGACAACTCCACAGGTAAGCAAATATTCTAAACCTTCTAACTTCTCAAATTGTGATTGTTCTGTTTATTTTCAACAACCAACAGTTCTTCTAAGCAGTTGCCTGCTTGGAATATTTGAAAATGAACATTATTTATTTTTAAAGCAGAGGAAGTTATAAATAATATTTGTGAACATTTTCAGCTAACAACTTTAATTTTGAGAAACACTATTAGGTAATGAAAGTTACATGAATTGCTGAAGTCAACAAGATCTGGAAGACCAGGAAAAATCTGTTACAATTACATGAAAGCTGGTTAGATCTGAAAAGCCTGCTGAAAAGTTTATCCACAGTACAGTGTTGCTTATGCAATAATGTTGTGCATGGGAATGTTATCAGAAGGAAACCTTTTCTCTGACCTCTTCACAAAAGTCACCATTTAAAATAGCAGAAGAAAACCTTGACAAGCTTGAAATGGTTTGGTAGAAAGTGCTTTGGACTAATGATGACATTCACAAGATACATTTGGAAGTAAAAAGACGAATCATTTTTAAGAAAAACTTTACCATCCAATAAGAATGGAGGTGGCTGTATTATATTTGGGGTTGTATGACAGCAGTTTATGGGTGGAAATAACTAAATATCCACTTGTTGTCCAACCTCATGTTCCAAAACTGAGAAAACTGAAGTTGAAAAATGTTCATATATTTCACAATAATTATGACGTGAAAGAAACTTCTATATCATCTATAAAATATTTACAGGAAATAAAGATAAAAGGTTTGGGGTGGATGTCACAGTTCCCAAACAAGAATATTTTTGAAAATCTGAGGGAAAAGATCCCAAACATATCACACTCTAATCAGCCCCTACGAAGGAGGTAAAACAGTTCCAGGAATAGGAGGAGGTGGTGGTAGAGGGGAGAAGGAGAAAAGGAGGAGACAATGAACCTTCCCTGGCTTCACAAAAGATTTGTTATTTTTGTCAAAGAATTACAAAGAACAGGCTGAAGGGTATCCAGACTTTTGTATTAGTTTTCTTATTCTGAATCTGTAAACAGCTGCATGTAAACAGTAATTATGCATTCAAATTTGCAGCAAGATGGCCTGTTTTGGTTTATACCGTGTCGAGCTTGTGTCAGCTTCTGTTTGCTTGGGGATTCACTAAAGCATATAATTTCACTAGAG